ATATATATATTATATATATATAATATATATATATATAATATATATAATATATATATAATATATATACGTATATATATTCATATAATATACATGCGTATATGTATATACACACGCGTATGTATGTACACGCGTATATATGTACACGCGTACGTATATACATATATTTACATGTATACGTGTATATATACGTATATACTGTATAGGTGTATACGTATATATATGTGTATGTATATGTACGTGTATATATATATACACGTATATATATAGGGCCTATATACTTTTTAAGTCATGTATCATGCATAGGAACGTTGGCTCCTGCAAGGCTCTGGTTACTATTTATACATATTACTTTTTTTTAACAAATAGTCTAATAAATGAAACAGAAACATGTGTAAATGAATAATTTCATATCAAGTATTTATAGATAAGCATATATGCCTTAATAATAATAATAATATATGTCAGCATGTCAAAGGTCAGAAAAATTTCCAGCCATTTTTTTTTAGCCAACTATTCCATTAGACCAAATAGAAACATGAATGTTCGATTAAATTGACACCACAATTAACTCTCTGCCACCAGTGGTTGCGGAGATATATGGACTAAAGCTTACATTGAAACATGTCAAAGGTTAGAAACAGCATTTACGCTCATTTTTAGAAAAAAAATTCTATTAGAGTAAATAGAAACATGGAGGTTCCAAACAAATTGGCACCAAACTTAACTCTCTACTACCAGTAAAGTAATTGCGGAGATCATCACAACTCAATGGCTATCTTATATAAAATATTTAAAAGGTCAGAAATGGGCGGCGGTGAGAAAGTGAAGCATTTATTTAGGCCTATACTTGATGTGTAAGTTACAGTATAGTATTCATTTTCCCAATATTCAAATGCAAAGAATTTTCAAGGTAAACCACCACAACACAAATTCCACCCAACCTCATATTATTGCCTGAAAATGAAAAATGCATCATGCATAGGAACGTTGACGCTCGCAGAGTTCTAGTTTAAACACATGAACTTTATTTTATCATTCAGGAAAGCAGACAGAAAGGCCAGAAATGATGAGATTAGACGGAAATATGGTGAGTATCATTTAGCAATATATTTCATGCTTTCATTATCCTACCTGTGCATTTATACCAGTACCTCTGGCGATTTGCCAGTTCTGCTTTCATTACTACCAAAAGGGAAATTTGTTGATGGTAGAAGCTGTATCATCCACTAATGTAACAATCAACCACTGTTGTAGCATTACCACTGCTGGGTTAGGCGGTTTGGCTCAGCGATTTCCATTGAGATTGTGAAAGGGTTGTCGAGGGTTGGAACCACACGCTGACCATTCTCGGCCGGCCATGTAGTTACCCAGCTTGCACTGTTAACAGGTTGTGAAGTGGCTCACGCTATGTTTCAGCTCTAGGTGCAAGTATTTATTTATTGATTATTTATCTATTGAACATATTTATACAGGATAACATATCAGGAGGATGTAACAGCCTGTTTTACATATGGTCATGTTTTATGATACAAGCTTTAGAGTATATAAAATGTCAAGAAATTTCATAATAAAATTGAAATAAAATTGATAATTTCATGGCTTATAAATTAAATATTGTGTGGCCACCTCTCATCAACAATGATGGTAACATCAAGCTTAACTAGATTTGAACTTGTCACTTTGGACGAGTTAGGTGATCCGCCGCACATTTGAAATTTGACCCACAGGAAGAGCGCATGGCGCGGATTGAAAAATATTTAAATGCTCAAATTATGGCCTATAAAGTGCTCTAATTTAGTAAAAACAAAAATAATTTTGAGCATTACAAAAGTTATGATGGGTGTTGCTAAACCGTGTTTGGTTGAATCATGGTAGAAAAGAAAAAAAAAAACAATCAAAAATTGTCGCAGGGTGGGGGGGACACAAATGTACGGTATTATTTATTTAATAAAATAATATTTAATTTTTATAAAATGAAATTTGATCACTGAGAAAACAGATAGTTATGTCAAAATATTGTCTCTACATGGAGGCTTCATATCAAAAGTTCTTGCCAGGTATGTCAGTCCCTGGCGCGGCTGGGCTACTGGGCCGCGGCTTGGTGCCTGGAATCGTAAATATATCATGCTAACAAATCAAGGACTTATAACTGTTACCAGGATAGGAAGCTGGCTGGTTTAAGCAGTCTAACTGGAATTAGCCTTATGTGTGGTATTGTTATGCTAATGAGCCAGGTAAGCACAATCTGCACATGCTCAGAAAAACAAAATTTTTTTTAGCCACACTGCACCCCGCAGTGCGTATTGGCTTGGCGTACGGCTAGGCCTAGTTGAGAATTACAGTACGGTAAAACAAAGCAAAATAAGGGTACTAATTTTACTTGGCATGCAAATTAGTCATACTCGTGAAGCGGATCACCAATTAACTAAGATATACACAAAAAACAATAAATAAATAAATAAAAAACCAAAAATCAACTGCTGTTGTAACAATGTAACAATTTCATTAACCACTATTGTAACAAAGTCCATTAATCACTATTGTAACAACGATGTAACCACTTATGTAACAATGTACAACATAGAAGTCTCCAAACTGAAAACTTGTGTACATTGTTCTATTAAAACCAAATTTCACATTATTGATGGTTGTGGCATTTAAAAAGAATAATTTTATTAATTTTTTATATAGAGGTTAAATCTATAACGCTTGTCTGCCTTTGGTAGGCTTTGCGACTGCACCCTCTACAAAGTCGTTCCATAGTTCCCTGTTTTTTTGTGAGGATGTGAAGGTCTGTTGATCAAATTTAAATTACTTATTCATCATTTCTATCCACAATGTTTTCGTTTTCCTTTTGGTTTCTTTACTTTGCAAAGTGCTTCCTTCAAGGATTTTTGACGGTGTGTTGTCAGGCATTCTCATTAAATGTCCAAGCCACCTTAAACATACAGAAGTCTGATTATTTATAGCCATTTCATTTTTAGTAATTTCCTGAGAAGGTTTCGATGAAAACAGTTAATATGCTCTTCTTCATTTTTTGTTAGAAATCATAGCTCACTATGGTAGAGAAACACAGTTAATAATAATAATAATAACGTAGTTTTATATAGCGCACATATCCCCTGCTAACCGCTCTGCCATTCGACCCACTACAGTTGCTGCATGCATTAAAAATTTGAAGTCTAGTTGGTAGAGATATTATATTGCTTGTTACAGTAATTGTGTTTGGTACCACTTTGTGCTTTGTATCACGTGGTACAATTTCCTTAATATAACCATTTATTTCTCAATGGTGTTTTTTCGCGCAAGTCAGTTCAAATGTGATAAGATAAGATGTCAAAATAAATCCGCAATCGGGGCGAACGTAAGCCGGCTCAGATTTGGCTTGCGTTCAGATATAAAGTTAGGTCGGCCCAGGTCCCGCATTGCGGTTGCGGGACCTGAGCCAACTCAAAAGTCGGACTAACTTTAGGTCGGCTCAGGGCCGGCTTAACATTTATTGATTCTTCAGACTTAAAAAATGCCGACCCTTGGCCGACGTAACTCTTAAGTGTGATTGGGGTCTAATTACAAGTTTTTCAAATCACTATGTTTTCTCAATTGTATGTGCTATACAAATATGAGTATGAATTAAATGTAATAGCCTACGAAATTAGAACAAAAACCCATACAAGTCGGCAGTTCTTTTTTTGTGATGCAAGGTCTATGCAGGCTGCGAGATCCCATCATCAGAGAGAACGCAATGGGCCTTTCCTAGTTAGGCTGACTTATATGGTTAATTTGTCAATAATGAAGTAAAAAAATATATATACTTGTTTAGCGTCACCACCCGACCCTGATTTTTGGCCCACTTTTTCATATGACAAAAAAAACATCTAAATCCAGGCCTAGCCTACACGACGAGGTCCAGCAGGAATTGTGCTCGGCGGCATTTGGTGTAGGCTTAGGCCCAGGCAGGATCAAATTCGACCGCGATGTAGGCCTGTGGGACACTTTGTATTTATTGTATGTTCTCAGTCAATTCGATTCATTGAATGATTACTAAATATCCTATTCTAATAATTACATAATAAATATGCATATCATTGACTTAAAAATTATATAAAGACTGTGGGAAGGGGAGACTATTCTACACTAGGACCTACTTACTATGTGTTTTCCTCTCAAAAAAAATCCCCCCCCCCCCCAATAGACTGGGTTCCAGTCCCTAATCTTTGTCTTAATCAGTTGAAATGCTTAAGAATAAATCAATTTTGGCACAAATGGCGTTCCATATTACTTATTTGCATGGCGTTCCATAGTATACTTTTTCTGGGATTAGGGACTGGGAAAACAGTGAGGATTTCGAGTGCAGGCACCACGATTTTGTGGTGTATGACGTATTTAACAACTTTGATTTCCGATTGGCTAATTACCGCGGCATAAATTAAATATGCTATCATGCTTCCCCTCGGCCCAGCTAATGATAAGGAGGATTCAGGTTAGCTCAGCTTGTGCACCGCAAGGAGTGCTAGTCCCCTATCACAATTTGTTCAACCATGGAGGTAATATTTAAACGCACCTTCACAACAGAAATCTGCTGCATGGAAAGTAACCAACTTCATGCCAGTTAATAAATACAGTATTATTATTGATATGATACAGCCAAGCTCATGCTTTCTCGCCAGGTTCAGCACATTCAGGTTTAGACCTAGCCTAGAGAGACCACAATAGTCAATATTCACGTCGGGTTTGCAGACATCTATTTGAAATAGGCCTACATATTAGTTTTAACATAGAGTAATGTATATAGCATTAAATAATAGTAATATAAATATTTAATTTTTCAAACTGGCTAAGATTTAGGAACCTCAATTTGCTATGTACGACGAACGGGTGAATATCGTCATATCTATGGACAATTGCATCCTTTGCATAAAGCTGTATTTTGAGATTTAAACAATGAATAAATATATCAATTTTTTTTTAAAATTAACATTTAATGAGAAACTGAGTAATAAATTATTGATTAATGAGAAAGGTTTAATTTATTGTTCCTTGTACAGTATGTTGGCCAAAAAGGAGGCCTAATTGATTTAATTACATGATATCCATTTGTTTTTCAATTCATTTATATTTTAATCTTAAATTAATCACAACATATTTCACCCCTTAGTATCAAATTTTTTTCTTGTATTATTTCTAAGTTTACAGTGAGTAATATGCAACTCCAAATTTACAAACAATATTTATAGCATTCTATTGGGCCATAAATAAAACAAATAGACAAAAGGAGAAAATGTGCAATTCTTTTAATTGTTCTGATCTCCATAGCTATCAGATTTATTTTTCAATAAATATAATCATTCTTGTTAATTTGTAAAAATAAAGAGGCTACATTGCAGGTAATGAGAAAACAATTTAGTTGCATGTATTTGGAATAAAAAACATTGTAACTGTCATTGTACGAAACTCAAAAAATGATCCAAACCACAGTGATTTTACATTTCAAACTTTATTTGTTGATCTTTCAGTGTTTTACCATTATATATTATTAACTGCTTCAGGAAAAAAAAAATATTTTCACTAATTAACAAACAATTTACTATATTAATTACCAGTCAATTTAACGTCAATGCAAAAGAATACAGGAAGGATCATACTGTATTTAATTGTTCATTATCATAAGTATATTTCAGTACAATTAATATCGAAATGAGACTGGGTTTGGTATACATGAATTTGTGCTTCTCCGTCAGATGCTAAGTGTCTCAAGTTTTATAACTTGACGGAAGTCAGTGGGGGTCATCCGGCTGGACTATTCACAGAATATCCATTCCTGCAAAACAATTAAATAAATAGATCTGAACAACAATATATCAATTTTTGTCACAAAATTATCAACAATTTCTGCAACATCAGTACTGTATATGATAGAAACTGTATGAGATAAACATGTAAAATAAAGACAAAGGCATTTTATAATTATAAATTATATATCATTTTTTATCACTTTAAATAGTTTGTCCAACTATGTCCTAGCCAAATTTTCATATAGGCATGACTACTTTCCATAACCATGGCACGTTTAACATAGACCTTATCATTATTTTATGATTAAAAATAGTTATATATTATAGTATTGATAAATTATTTAATGTCAGAGATCCATGTAATGTGTCTGTCTCATAGGAAAAATGTGAATTATTAATAGCAATTAAATATAGGTTAGCCAATAGGCTATGGTTAAAATTAGTGTACCTGCTCTAGATAGAATAGGGCTGCGACATTTGGTGAATATTTGGGAAAATATAAATTCCATCAACTGATTGAAAACTGAAGAATAAGTACAAGTACTTATCAAGCAGGTACAATAACAAGTGCATTCACAATCACTCACAACAGAGCCAGACAGAAGGGGTGATGGGGCTGTTTATTTGATTTTTAAATTAAGTTCAAGGTGTATTTTTAAAATTACCTAAAAAAAATGGTATCTGGTATTGGTAAATTCATTTGCTTTAACAAACTATAGCCCTCCTAAAAAAGTAGTTTTATGGTTTACATTTTATCTTGCTGTCATTCATTATATTATTTTAACAATAAATGAAAGATAAACACAGAATTCTAAAAAGTAATTTAAAGACTGACGCACCTTTACATTAGTTCTGGCCTCGTTGGTACCATCATCATTTTATCTAGAGACAATTATCTCATAGGCCCAGCTCGTCCTGTCCACTACACCAGCTGTAGGTGGTTAGTTCATGTTTCGCCGCGCTAATCAAATTTCTCTTTGCTCCTTGGAATAGAGACGGCCTGCTCCTCTTTTTGGTGACATTTTGTTTTTAAAAATACATAAACATACTCGCGACAACTCCCGTAGCTTATCCAGGTATCCATTGTCTTCAATTTTGTGTCCCAGTTGCGACAGCATGACAGCTTTTCCGTTGGCCTAGGCCTAGTGGTGGGCTGATAAATGTTCTAGTGTTAAATACTGAGCCTCGCGTGAACGTAAGGCGGTTCGCAAACCAAATACTTTCTAGACTGCAGCTTTTCCACGCACTCGATCTTGTGCGCAGAACAAAAATTTCTCTGGAATACAGATTTTTTGGCGTTTTGGTTGGTGTTTTCTTTTCCTCCATTAACAATACCACGATATTCCACACACCTGCACATACGGTACCATGTCCCAACTTCCTGACTTCTCTCTACATTCGTGGCACCAAAACGAGAACCGTTTGATTGGTTAACCTTCCGTCATAACATTCATATAATGATAATATATAACATAATGTACTACAAAAAATCCATAAATTAGAGACTTGTGGCAAGTCTACATTTACAGTTATAGGAACAGGTAAATTCTATTTGTCATGTGATCATAGGTTTAGCCAGCAATTATTTAGGACGGTCACTGTTACCGTGACGGCTTGGCCTAGCCTAAATGGGCCTGTCTACCTTTAGAAAATTCTTTATATTCTTGAAATCTATCAAATGTTACATTGAACTAAAGCTAAATCATATTTACGTTTAATAAAAACAACCATTATTGATTGAAAGTTGTTGTTTTCATGCCAATATTCGGTGGGGATTTCCAAAAATGTATGGCTTAACAACCATTGACTACCTAGTGAAAAGTTAATTCATGAAATACCGCAAAGAAAATTTGTTGTTAACGTCACAAGTTAAATTTTATTTGTCACCAACATACGTAGGTCTAGGCCTATCAATCGATTCGGAGGGCCTAGAGTAGAATTTTCACTAGACTAAGGCGAGAGATGAAAATGCATCTGCATAGTCTAGAAATATTATGTGAGTAATGTAGCCATGCACAATCTATGTCTATAACTGAATGTGATAGCTAATTTCAGAAGACAAACTTCCAACATTTAAAGACCCTCTAAAAACCATATTTTCTGACCCTGAGTGGGCGTGGTCTGCCCATAGGCTTAGGGCCACGCCCACTGTCTTCCATTTTGGACGGCCTATTTCGTTTTCTGGCTAAACCCCTGCATGTGATCAACATTAAATTAATTTTTTTGGTCAGGGATTGATAATGGTCAACAGTGGACAACAGTACCATAAGCTAAGCAGTATATCTATAAATAAAATTACATATTTGAAGAGATATAATTTGATTGGTTTTCAAGTCATATTATAATTCTTCAATATGTTTGATGTTTTTCCTGTACCCTGTACATTCCACAGGTCTTTTGCGTGATGGCGATTGCAGTGACTGATGAACTTCGACCTGATTCCTCGTCACTTCTCTCTTCTATAGTTCTTGCTCCTGTTATAATCACAGTCGGGAATGTGTTTTACGGTATCTTTGTAAGGAGACACTTCAGAACAAAAATTTGCTAATTGATAATGAAAATGAAAAAGTTATCTGTAACTTTACATTCTTTCAATGGTTTTGACTACGCTGCCAGTCTACTAGGAACTAATAGAGTGTAATAAACATCTGCGCATGCTCACAAACCTTACTGGCTAAATCGGCGTTGTGATAGCTTCTCCGACTACCCCAATTTCTGAATTTGGTGTAGTGGCGACTACCCTAATATTGACCAATCAGATCACCAGATTGTCTGGCGAAACTGCCGGTAATTTTTTTTCGTTGGGGTTGCAATTTTCATCGCATCCGCGATCGAGTATTATTCGTTCAATAATTAATTAAAACGAGTGAGTAATTTAATGTTTTATGAACTTATTCACATACAATAAAGGAGGAATGAATATTTATAAGGGCAACATAAAATTAGGGCAAATAGAAAATTTTATTAGATTATCACTCCCATCCACGTAAAAATTCTGGAAATATTGATGCGAGAATAAAAAAAAAATTTTTTTTGCCGCATCAATTATTTTAACAGCATAAAATTAACAATGCAATTTGTTACATCAAAAACATTATCTTTTAAACCACTTTTTATACAATATTTAATATTACTAGCCAAATATAAACAGTCCCTCCCTCATCGATAAAAACAGTAGCGAAAGAATCTATTGTTCCGATTAAAAAGAAAAAAAAGAGTGATAATCTAATATTTTTTTCTATGTATGTACCCTTAGGTAAATCAGGGAATAGTAAAAAAAGGTCCTTAGGCTTAGGCTGAGCCAAGCCTAGCCTTGTCAGGGTGGATTTTAGGTGGGAGAAAACACATTATCTGGGGCTGCCTAGCTAGGACCTCTGCACCCTTGATATCGTGGATCACAGTAGCCTTGCTGGCCCATAAAAATACCTCTCTTTAAAATTGTTATGTACATTTATTTTTACATCATTCTTGCATTTGGCAAATTGGCTGAGCAGTCTTGATACCCCTCTTCTCCTGTCCGCGAATCTTTTGACACCTAGGCTAAGCCTACAGTAGGCCTAAATCCTAGCCAACAGCAAAACGTCATTCAGTTTTTCCAGAAACTTATTATTTTGTCAACAGTATTTGGCTAAAGTTTTTTTTTCACATTTCCTTTTTCAAATATAAAACCAGAGATGACGGAACTAGGGGGTGCTGCGTTGTGGAGAGTAATCAGTCAGCAGTCAGTTGGTTAATGTTACCATGATGCACCAGTGATGTTGGAGTACGTCAGCAAGATGAAACTATTTATGTATTATGCATGCATGCATGGAGGGAGCACTTAAAATGTACAATAATCATTTCACTACCCGACAAACCCCGAACTTTATTCATGCATTACATAAATAGGTGTAAGCTAAATTAAGGTGATTAATTAGTGAAGATATGGAGACAACATTTCGAAGTTCCCTCTTTCGAAGAGGAGATGCAAATGCTTTGTGAAAATGAGTACGTTGCGGTACTCATTTTCACAAAGGAATACACGCAACTAATTAGCTAACAATATGCAAATGTTACATGAACACCTGGGAAGGAAGGTGCAATCACGTTCTGTTGCCTAGCAAACGTCTGTACTGTAGTGGGGGACGATGAAACATAATAAAGACTTGGCCTAGGCCTACTGTAAGTAGACAGTGCAATTATACAGTATGTGATAGAAAGTACACTTTCGAAAGAAATTAAAATAAGAAAAAAAAATAACTAAGAATAATTCAGTTGCAGACGTACCTTGTTTAAGTATTATATAATGCTAAAAATGCGGCTCTTGTAGCCCTAGCTGGGCAAGGCATCCATGTGCAAAGCAGTGGTGTTTAATTGTTTATCAATCAAAAAAGCACGCCGGGAAAGTTTGCCTTACCAGGAAAAGGTGACGTAATCTAGCTTATGACGTATGCATGCTAACTATATTGTGAGTCACCAAAAATAAAAAATGTTCTATTATAACCAAAATATTAATAACTACAAGGTTTGTGGGCGTAAATTCCATTATTACGAATTAAGGGTAGCAGAATCTCCTTGCCATACAAATTACAGCTCCCACTGACGTCTCAGTCGAGAAATACAGGTAGCTGAAGTTTTTCTCGCAAATCTGACTACGAAACCATTTCGAAATTTCACGTTCCACTACTAACTCTGAGTTGTGCTTCGCAGACGCCGCTGAGGGCGGCGTTCTGGGAACCCTGTGTCAAGCTTAGGAACAGTGTTCCCTGGTAATAAAACCATGGTCGACGTCTAGAGCCTAACTCTCCTCCATATGTACATGTGCTGCGTCGTCGTAGTTGCCCTAAAAAAGACGAAAACAACATTTGGAGTAGTACGCGAACAGTGTCTTGGTGTTGCCGTCACGGTCCATTAGTTTGTAGTAGACTGGTCGCATAGTCAAAACAAAAAATGCCTATTTGTTCCTTTTAACTTTTAGCTAAAATATACTTAAAATAAAATAGTTTATACATTTTATGTAATCTTTATTTTGCTATAGTATATATTATGCATACCTACCAGACTTTATACTTATTTTCTATATAATTATAAGTTATATTTTTTCTAACTTCAACGTAAAATATACTTTTTAAAATAGTTTAAACATTTTTTTTATTCAATTTTTATCGTACTTCAGAAATATAGCAGGCCTAACAGTATACCTACCACATTCATTGACAATAAAATCACTATAGAATTATATAGTGGTGCTGTACACAAACATAGGCCACAACCTCCCCCCCCTCCTATGATGACACATTATGTTACTGTTGTGACCCAAAAATTACCAGAAAACATAAAACACATCTTTTAATTTTTTTTTACTTTTTTTGATTAAAATATTAAATTCATGTCATATTTATAAGTAAATATATGTAATAATAATATTAATAAAGGCAGAAATTTGTATGTGTATTGTGATATATTTGGCATTTGTTAATTAGCTTTCATTTACATAAAATTTTTTAACAAATGTTGTTATTGTAATTGTTATTTTACTATTGTTATCATTGATTCCATGAGAGTAATTATTGTAGGACATTCCAGCATTCCATTTGCGCAGTTCTAACAAACTATGAGCATTTGTAGTTTATTTTGTTAGCTTTTTGTATGAGATTTCTTATTCACATAGATCAATATTTAAATGTTGTAAGAAAAGACAATGCAAATACGAAACCACAAAGAAATTTCATTGGTAATAGCATTCAATTGGTATTTTATGAAATATAAATGTTGTGACATAAATATGTGTTGTTCTCTAAATTTTTCTGTATTGTACCATTCTTTTGAAATATAAGGGTGCTGATTGGTTAGCTTCTAGCCTAGGATGTGTTTTTATCTGCTTTTTGTATAATCTAAATGTGTGTTTTATCACTTGTTTCATGTAATTCATGTTCCGTTTCACTTGTGTTTCTTGCTGTAACTTGTGCTTCCCATTTTTTTTAATGCTGTTAACATTTTTAAACATCATCTTAATGTTGTCAAAGTTTTTCATTTTTATTCACATTGACAAAGAAAGGTTATAACCTCAAATACATTTTTATATTTTTTGTATAATTGAAATAATATCATAGTACAATAATACTACATAATAATAAAAAAATACAAGTGCTTCACATTTATGTTAATAATATTGTAATCCTTTTTCAGCTTTATTAATGCAGTGATTTTCAATTAGTATTCAATTGCTTCCTTTTTGTTTCTTTTGTTGCCGTAGGCTTGACAACTGATGATGATGGGCAGTATCACCGTCTTGAAGATGTTTGAGAACCCATATTCTGTTCTTCCCTTCCTCCCCTTCTGCACATAATATGTAGCATGTTCTTAACCTAGACTGCATCTGCAATAGAAATTCTTTACACCAGTTAACATTCTAATAACTTAATGTATATTTAAATGTTGGAAATTGTTAACATATTTTTTAAACAAAGCACTAATAAACAGCACAGTTTTGAGTTGTAAAATTAGTTAATAAGTTAATATTGTACATATTAACTTATTAAGCACCAGTTTCATTGATTTTCATCAAAAAATATCAATATTAATTTGTATTAAAGTCTTAAAATATGTTTCATATTATTGTTACTTTTGAAAAATATAATTAAAAACAAGTATTTTACTTAAGTGCAGATGCAGTTTTGAATAAGTAATATATTTCTCCACCTTTCTCAAATGCAAACTTTTTGCATTCAAATTGATATTTTTTATTTCTACTCAGCTAGTATATTTCTATGGCTGCCGCAAGTATAAAGGCCCAGCCAAAGTGCCAATTTCAAAAAGATGACAAGAATTGAGAATTTAAGATTTAAGATCAAGTAATTTACTTCAAAACCATAAAGATATGAATATAATTTTACTGAAGTCCTTTGTCTAACTAATTGATTTTTTGTTGTTGTTATTGATATTATAGTTTTGTATAAGAAGGTAATTCTTTAAACATAGTGAATTCTCAAGACAATCTAAATTACATAAAATTTTGAAAGATTAATAAAAGCATAGTGATATTAAATGAATATCTATGTTAACATGTTAAAAATAATAGTAGACGGAAGTCGTGTTAAGCCATACTATAAAAAACACTTGACCATCCTCACTTGCATCTTTCTATTTAGCCCTGATGGAATTATTTTAAATTTTTTAATCTATTTTTTTTAATCTAGCACTCTGGTCCCAACACTTAACATAGTGTTCAAGTGTAAAATGCTTTTGTTTTAGCTGCTATTACTATTTTTAATATTAAGAAGTCATCAGTCACTCAGCCATTATTTCGTAGTCGGTTTTCATGTTAAAGAAAACAATGACATAAAAAGGACCTCCACTTTCCTTTTAGAAGACTCTACATAATCAACTGTTTTTTATATGGCATTAGTCAGGTAAAAATATTACTAAATTGATGGTAGCACTTTTAAATTACTTCTTACACAAGCTTTCGCCAGCCGTCTGTGGTTGGGGGGGGGGGTTTGTTGAGCGTGCAACTGATGAAATCTTCTGTAAAGCTCTGTCTAGATTATAAAATTTTATTTTACAAAAAAACTGTTGTATACTGTATATAGACATGATGTGCCTATATATATTTAGGCATATCACATGTTTTTGTCAAATGAAATTTGATAGTCTTGGCAGGTCTTAAAGATGTATTGTCCCTTGCTAATGTCAAAAAGTCATAAAAAATAATTTTGAAATAAACTTGCTCATATTGCAATAACATACTTGTTATTAACTTGTGCATAAAAATTATTGAATTGACGATGCGCCCGCAACAGATCATTTTTAATGACAATCCGTTCAGACTGCCACCGACAAACAACAGACGACGTTGTCATCTACCGCTCACAGGGAGGAGAGTTGGATTCGTCACATGACAGTGAGTGCCCAGCTTTAGTCAATACGTGCTACCAGGTTTTATGTTAACATGTTGTTGCCTTGTATGCTTCAATATCATCACCTCATGTTCATCAGCTTTAAAGAATTAAAATAAATTGTAAATTTGAAATATGTACGTGATTCTATAATAACTGCCAAGCACTTGCACGAATAAAATATATGTCTGCTTTGTATTATTTTAACATAGCATGATAGATACAAAAATGTATGACTTTTGGCCGATTCTTGAACATGTTAGAACACCTATAAAAAAAAAATAAAGCTTGAAAGTAAAATCAATTTATATCAGCAATTATGGCCCTTTCTTGAGTGTCAATCAAACTTAAATGACCAATCATAACATGAACACGGCCATGAATACATACACATTTCACATACACATGTTGTCCCACAAAAGCATGTTTGTGTACATTTTTACACTGGGGCCTTAGCAACAATATCCAAAGGGCGGGCTAAGCGAAAAGGTCTAAAAGTACTGTAGTTAATCCATCAGTGAACCTCATCATACAGTATTGTATCAACCAGTGTAACCTCAAATATCTCACATGAATGAATCGCATAGAGGCTTTGCTTGCCATGATCCACTATTACTATAATTATAACCCAGAGGTGACGGAACTATGGGGGTGCTGCGTTATGGAGAGTAACGTGTGACCGGAAATGGTCTGCTGTCAGTTACGGTGATTAATTAGCGAAGATATGGAGACGATTATTTCTAGGTTCCCTCTTTCCAAGAGGGGATGCAAATGCTTTGTGAAAATGAGTATGCCGCGGTACTCATTTTCACAAAGGAATACATGCAGCTGGTTAGCTAACAATATGCAAATGTTACATGAACACCTGGGAAGGAATGTGCAGTCACGTTCTGCTGTCTAGCAAACGTCTGTACTGTAGCGTGGGGGAACGGTAAGCATAAGTTGGTTAGCCAACAATATGCAAATGTTACATGAAAACCTAGGAAGGTAATGGCACATCACGTTCTGTTGCCTAGACTACTGATGTACTGTGTAGCGGGGGACGGTGAGGATTTATTAGTAAGACTACGCCTAAGTAGACAGTGCAATTATTTGTGTTAGAAAGTACACTTTCGAAAGAAATAAATTAAAATAAGAAAAAAAAATTTAACTAAGAATAATTCAGTTGCAGACATACCTTGTTTTAAGTATTATACAATGCTAACAATGCGGCTCTTGTTGCCATAGCTAGGCAAGGCATCCATTTGCAAAGCAGTGGTGTTTATCCATGATAAAAGCACGCTGGGAAAGCTTGCCTTACCAGAAAAAGTTGACGTAATCTTATGACGTATGCATGTTAACTATATTGTGAGTGTGACATCACCAAAAAATAAAAATTTTCTATTATAACAAAAATATTAATAACTACAAGGTTTGTGGGCTTAAATTCCATAATACAAATTAAGGGTAGCAACATCTCCTTGCCATAAAAATTACAGCTCCCACTGACGTCTCAGTCGAGAAATACGGGTAACTGAAGTTTTCCTCGCAAATCTGACTACAAAACCAAATCCAAATTTGATGTTCCACTTCTGACTTTGAGTTGTGCTTCGCACACGCTGTTGAGGGCGGCGTTCCGGGAACCCTGCGTCCAGCATATTCCTTTTTATAAGTCAATCGTAACGTCATCACTGCAACTCCCAACGTTATTTGCCTATCCCCCACAGTCCAATAATTTTTCGATTTGGACGCTTTGCTTGATTTGTTTAGGTTCGTGTGCAAAAATACTGTATACCTAATTGTTTCGTGACCGTGAAGATATTGCACAGAGCGATGAAAATTGAATTGTTATTAAAAAATTACTTTTGTAAAACAAGGTTAATTAGAAAGTTACTTCAAATTCTATATTAAGTATGAACAGAATTTCTTGAATGAATGAACCCGTGGCTAGAGATATGGACTGTATTTCTACTTCTGTAATGGAGTACTGTATTCCATATCTGAATTATAAGTCATTTTAAGTTACTATTGACATAATTATTGTAGAATTTGTTCTACAAAGTTGATTAATTATAATTCTGGGTGTGTCACTGAAGGAAGTGTAATGTTAATGTTGATATACAATACAGTAAAATAAAAATTCACAATACAGAATAAAACTGAAAATCTAAGGAGGCAAGGATTAACAAAAGCAATAAAAATCGCTGTAGCTCACAAGCTAGT